CAATGAATGCGACAGAGATTGGCCTGGACTACACGTTTGATCAGCCGCAAGAGTGACATCTGGACTAGGATCTAATCATGTCATTATGTCGTGTGTATCTAGCCAAAATACGAAATTGAATGAGTTCGCTCGGGACAGTTCAGAGCCGTTGGAATCCTAGCACTCCGACGCGCCTGGACGCCCGTGCTCCCGATGAACAGCAGTGTCTTGAGGGGTCGACCCGCACGTCAATCCATTTATCTATCTACATATTTGCCGGTTTATTTCTCGTTTCGTCTGGCCTTCTGTGTTATTCTAATTGACCTAGTGACAGAACTCTCGTGAATTTCGTCTAGTTAAGATTTGATTAAATATACGTATTGCATATACGCAATGCTGCTCGTGCCGCGTAAGCTCCGGCGATCTGTGACAACTTTTCCAGACAACTACAATCTAGGAACTCTACTGACGAAAGCGCGTCCGCAGATTAGACTAAGATGTACATAGACGTGTGGTGTTGGTTAGGTGAGATTGGGAACGAAATTGAAGACAACGTTTCCTTTAATGGCCACTGCTTGCTTTAAGACGTAAGTACGCGTAAATGGTTTGGATAGTTATGAAAAAAGAAGCAATGATTGATTCAATATACCTATTCTATACAAGCGACTCTTGCTTAAAGCTTACGCAGCACCAGCAGCAATGCTGCTGGTCCGTAGCAATTTTTCCGGACAACTACAATCTAGGAAGATAATAGATCTATAAGCGAATTTTATCACTACACATGTATCTAAAGTAAACACAATCATGGTAAAATTGACGGAAGAATAAGGATATCGATTACGACCTCATGACCTGCATAGAAACATGGAAATCGAGAAAAGCTATGATAGTGCCTTTCTTGGCATCTTTTTGCACTAACATTTATGACCGTAATGGGTTTATTCGTAGAAATACATGAGTGGCACTTTGACGAGGGGCAGTGGAGCTCGTGGCAGTAGCAAATACCCACACTTAATGGTTTCCATAACAGTAATAACGGCAGTAGGCTTTATTACCATTAGCATGAATTTTAACCAGTTCATATTCCATTTGTTGCTGTTTTAATATCTTCCCATAAGAATGACCCATCCAGGGGTCCGCTAACTGGTTAAGTAACTAGCTAATTAACGGACGGACTTCCGAACTTTTAGACACAGGTCAGCGGGGAAAAATACGATGGTCAGTTATTCTCAACTGCCACTGTCGGCAGCAGATGTCACAACAGCGTAAGAACGCAGAAAAAGTCGGCTCAAGAGGTAGACTCCACTTGCGCAAATACATTACAAGCCATTATCTAGCGCTTTAACTTTTACTAACGCTTGATGAAGTTGTGCATCGGGCAGTAACTATAAGAAATGAGTACAATTAAATAGCCCCTAATATTAGACATTGGAATTCTTAAATACGGCTAACAAAAAAAGTATCCATCTGACAGTAAACGAATGGCTCATGTCGTCCAATGTTACATCCCTAGCTATTAATCAATTTAATTATTAATTTTAACTGATGTCATTAATATCAAGGTAAAAAATTGGGGCGAAAAAACCTAATGTTGAAGAAAATAATCGAGCGTGCTTCTGTTACCTTTCATACTCGAGAACGTACGCGTCGCATGGTGCTTGAATAACAACACCTTTACGAAACCAGACGTTCTTAATTGGCAAAATTACAAGTACTGCCAACAAGGCGAGATATGCGTGAGACATAGGTACAATAACAGAGTTTTGTCGGTGGACTACTCTAGCGCACCACCATTTCATTACTACATAGCAAACTACTGAATGTATGCATTTTTAGAAGCAATACTCGATCCCACAATTACCTGTGAGATCCGATGGGTTTAGGGTTACTCGTCGTCTTGGGTTGCACGGTCAGGCAGCACTAGCAGGGGCATGCTAGTGGTCATTGACCATGCGCCGCAATGTATCATCATGCTGCGATTTTTTTGGGCCACGTCGTTAGGTCGGAGCTACTCTCAGTCGAATATCGAAACGCGGTCGACGGTTGAGAATATGAGCTGATCTGTTGGGTGCGTGACTTGTCAGGCAGTCTGTTGTTGTCGTCGAGTGCGTGCGGTCGTACCGCTTATTGCTTTCATCGGAAAACCCTCTTGTCTCCTACTGTCGCCGCCGCTGGCAGGCGCTGTACCAGTGGTTACTGTTGCTCCCGCCGCTGCCATCAACGTTACGGGTATTATTAAAACGGTCGCAAAGCGTCTCGTTCTAATGATTATCATTACTCGTCAATCGATTGGACCCAGCCCTAGTTTGCTCTAACTAACAGAAGGCCACTGCTCCGCGTCGGCCGCTTCGGCGATAGGGTGAAAGCCACGGGTGGTCTTGAAGCGGCCATCGCCAAAACAACAGCTATAACGATGTACATGTGGCCGAGTAGATCACAGTAAAATAAGAAAGGCTACTAGGTAAAGTCAAACAATAATGAGGTGCCGTCACTTCTTTTCAAATGAAGTCCAGACTGTATGAACAAAGCCGAATTATAGAAATGCAACATAGATATATGCATGAACTGGAGGAAATAGTTGTGCGTCGTATGTTTTTTCCATTCTAAATAAGAGACACTTTTCGGCTCTGCTTGAATTCGACGTGACACATTCAGTCAGACGAGTCTGGGACAAGCTCTCTTATCAACCGAATAAATCAAAGAAAATATTTGTATCTATATATATATATATACACGTTATCTTTAGTGTGGTTGGCTACCTGTCATATGATTGTATCCTGGCATTTAGCCTTATAAATACCTCGTGCTTAGCGCCACCGCTTTATCGCTAGGCGGCAAAGTAGCTCGAAACGTCAACGAGAACTCAATATAATGTTACGATCTATATCATTACGTTTGATTTTAGCATTTCATGCCTGTGTGACGACCACTGACATTATTTCTACTGAAACATAGTTCGCAGCAAAAAGTTACCACGAACTATTGGCCGAGATAATGTAGTGTAACTCTCGAAATTTTATTACTACATATAGTATACACATCTGATACGCGAACGATAAAAACGCGCTGCTTCTGGTCCTTTGCTTTGTTTCATAATGCTCGCTTTATGTTAGCCCACAGACATGTCCTACTGTCTAGCATAGTTCTCTCGGTACAAGAAAATGATCTAGTACGTTTAGTTATTAAAATTACCCGTATTATTAACCCATTGTTCGAGGTGGTGAGGGTCGTAGCCTCAAAGTTTGTCGTTCGTTTATCAAATTAACTTCCAACAGCTTTCAGTCCCGTTTCGTCCGTCAGTGTTGGGTCACATCGAGGTGTACCATTGAATCATTCGTTATAAACGGAAAAAAAAAAGTGTCGCCGCATAAAGTAATATAGCAGCTTAAAATATCGTTGATCCAACGTGCTTTCTCGAACTGTCTATCCAGAAGATGTTGTTTTTAAGCCATTGCCTGAGATCGAGCAGTGTGAAAATTAGAAACCGATCGGTGGCCTTAAAGTGCAATTCGGCACAGGCGAAGCAGGGCTAAAAGATGCTTTTAGCTAATGGAATAAACAAAAAAACAAGCTAATTCGCGCTTAACATTGCGATTTGTATTCGCCCAGTATAGAAATCCTTTCTTTTTACGTTGTCAGACCCTTCTCGTTTCGCTAAAAATGATCTATCAATATAATGAACTAGCTTCTGTTCGGTTCGTTAACAATATGTAATAAACATTCACTAAGACATAATCTACTGTATTTCAAATGTACGCCATCTACGAATGTACACGCAAGGGGTCAGCATTACTCAGATGAGGCTTTCTTCTATGTAGGTGAGACGCCACACGTCTTCTACCGGTTGTCGTTTCTATTGTCATCTAAGCATCGATCGCTGGCCGTTCTATTGGTTTAGCAGTTCTATTGTTATTACTGATCTATCAGAGTAGTGTGTTTGAAGACAACGTTACCAAAGAGGCCTCTACGGGAAGCCCAAAACAAGGCAAAGCACTTATAGAGAGATCTAGTTAGAATACGGCATAGCTATTCCACATGTAGGTCACTGGCTAACTTCGCTCGACGGTTTATATATCCGATTGTATCGTAGTATTTATTTCTTATTTGCGATGCAAACGGAACAGGAAGCGGCAAATTCGTATTGGCGGCCTTCAAAGGGTAGAACAATACGGAGGGCATAGTATGAACAGTTAGCCCGGAAATGCGTATGCTCCAATGAGCCAATCAAAAGAATCGATGATAGTTACTCTGTACTCTATTTATGTGTGTTTATTAGGTAGCAATGATAGTAGAAAGCGCCGTTGATCGATATGCTTAAAATGATAGTGAAAAATTGGCTTAGACCATTTTTAGTAAGGTTAATGTTTGGTGAAGAGACGAGGCTGCCCCCGAGAAGATCAACTGGGCGGCTGGTCGGGTTTTGGCCTTTTACACCATGCTAGAAAAGTGTAATGAGCTACAAATTTGAACGCCGGCTGAGGAAAAGCGCATTATACTACATAAGCGAACAGCTTGCTAGAAGCACAGTTAAGATGATGCAATCAAACGTACTCCAGAGAAATTATCTGTTAAAATACCTTTTATTATACCCATGGCTCTAAATAACTCGAGAAGCGATCACTGGTGGGACCTCAAAATGATGCGTGAATAGACGTATCGAAAAATGTCAGGTGAAATCAATGCTTTTCTTCCAATTTGCTCTATCCAAAGTCCACCAATATTCAAACACGTTCACTTTGCTCAGACTTGATTAAACGGGCTGCTTAGTAGCATCATAATAATCGTACAATGTTAAGAACCGGCCGCCAAATTTCTGCAGAGAAACGTTTTAACCGTTATTTTTTGCACTTTGCCTTGTTACTTGTCCACCTGAAAGACAATCGCTAGCCCTCCGGTGTTCCTTTCAACGCGCGCGCGCGCACACCCATGACGGAAAGTTAATACGATTGCTACAGATGAACAAATGACAAGTCATACATTTTGCATTTTTCACTATTGATTCATTCCCTTTCTCTCTGCAGGGGCGACGGAGTCGTCGGTGGCTTCGTGCTGGGCCTGCCGAGTGCGGGACCCCGTGCCATCTCGGGGGGCCCACTCACCTGTAGCAGCACTAACAGCAGCAGCAGTAGTAAACCAACCGCTACATCTGTCATCGGAAACGGAGATTGTTCCGGAGGTTTGTCAAAGCCGACGGGGGCGGGGGGCGGCGGCGGGGGCGGCGCGCCTCGAAACTTTGGCTCGGTGGGCGCGCTGGCCGCCCGCTACCGCGACCTCATGCTCGTTTCACTGATGACCTGTGCTTCCTTTTTTCTTTATGTCAATTGGCGCTTCACCGCTACGCACGCGCCATCCCCGATCATTACCGGTAAGTTAGCGAGTAATCATGTGGGGGAGTAGGCCGTGAATATTTTTACACATACGGTACAAAGGAAGAACGAAAAATTATCCTTCCTAACAGATGTTATATAACTACAAATGCTTTTATATTACTGACCCCTTTCAGCTGTTGCTTCGGCTTTGCATTGCTTCGAAGATCTATAGAGCTAGTAATTTGTAGAATTGATAAATAAATTCAATACGAGTAATTTAAAGAACGCTAGCAGGAGAAAAGATTAACATACTCATTATTTTTTTCACTAGAGGGTAAAAGTACGTCTTTAGCTAGGTTTAAACCAATGCCACCTTGTCGTTCCTGCCATAGATACGATGAGTAACGTTTAGGTAAAGCGATATTGCCAATGCGAAGGATGATTGATCTTCCCAACGGAGACATAACTTTAAACCTCTCACACAACAAGCACTGGAACATTTGATCGCTACTCACAAGCGAAGCTGCTAATATAGATACGAGCGCTGTGATTCTTTCAAACGACGCCTCAATGAAAAAGGGCTTTGATTCTAGGTATGTATAGCTTTGACGTAAATTTAATGCCTAGGAGGTGTTACTTTCTGTATGCCGTTGTAGCATGAATTTGACTAGCTAAAAAATAAATATATTTACAATGCAACATAGTGTTTCCGGGGTAATAAAGCCACAAAAAATAATTTCGTATTCATTAATTGTGCAGTACTTCTAGCTTCGGCGTTGTTAAGCATGTATGGCTGTATTGTCAAGCGACTCGATCAAATGTATTGTTCTTAGTTTGGCATTTGAGAGATTACGGGAATGTGTAGAACCCAACTGCGATGGAGGCTAAATGGAGTTATAATACAATAGATTTCTAGTCTCTCGAGAGTTCTCCAGCGTACACGATTGCATGTACCTACGTGCATGAACGGATCCGATTACGCTGCTAGACAGCAGCAGTTGTGTAAACTCAACTGGATTGAGTAATAAAAAAAAGCGCAGTTTCGCGGTCAGGTATAAGACGTAGGCTCTCAAAAAGGCAGAATAAAAAATGATTTCAAATTTTTTAATAACGAGCAAGTCTTTGGTTTCTTCGTGATAAACAGGGCCAGCCAGACCAAACTCTCAAGTAAAAAGACGATACCGTTTGAAAGTGTACGAAAATTTTACTTCGTAAGTAATATTAGGTATTATACCACTGTAGATTTGGCTTTTAACGTCTGTCGAAGATAGAGTCAATAGGCAGAAAGCTAAGGAACAGGATTTGTTCTAGCTCAACAGTTTTTGTCGATTTAATAACTGATGTGATACATTTTAGAGATATTCGCAGTGAGCAATGTAGGCCCAATGTAAAACTGGCCTTGGGTATAAAAATCGCAAAATTTTACATATATCGTAAAGTAATTCGTATCTACATCGTTGACGTATCGAAGCAAACCGTTTTCATGTGTAAATGTTGAGCCAGTTCTCAATATTAGCCTTACCGTGGCTGACGCGTTTCGTCGTGTGGAACTGCTTCAGTTCTTTCTTCTAAGATAGATATTTACTATCAGCTAATGGGGTGATAGCACTTTAAATTCATTCGGTCGAAATTCACCACAGCGATAAGCGATAAATACTATCTACATTTATAATTATAACCTACTATATATAGATCAGTAATACTGAAATAATAATTATATACGGACGTTCCCAACGCGGTCAGTTAAAAATGACACAGGAACAATTATATTAAAACAAGCCAACGTGTATGACTCGAATCAGAAGTCACAGGTTCCTATGTACACGATCGCCTTCCGCACCCATCTTCCCGTCCGAGTTTAGCTCGTTGTTGCAAAACCGTCCCTCGAAGTGTGCTCCTAAAACTACTCTGTTCTACGGCCATTCGGAGCCGGTCGACTAGAAATAGCCGCTAAGAAGCCTGTTTTCTCTCTCTCACGTCTTCGTACACAGGAATGCGCGCATGTTCGAAACGCATTGAAAAGCATGTCTTTTCTACTTTCCCTTGATATGTTTTCGCCTTGATGAATAAGGCTGTTTTGGTGTAAGAGGTAAAGCGACCAAGAGGTTTCAGTGAAGGTAGTATCTTCTTCCGTCTTCGATGTTCCTTCTCTATAGCGCATTCATCACTAGCAACTCATCAACGGGCCGAGAGGACGAAAGTGAGTCTGTCAAACTACTAAGAGAAATCAACCCCGAAACGGAACCTAGTCGAAAGTACCTAGTCCAGACTACCATCACTATCAGAGGCGGATTCAAATGTAGAAAGGGGCTGCGGAAGCGTATCGCGCGCCGTGTAATAGACATTATCGGGGGTACCGAGCGCATAATATTGCGGTGCAGACTGTCCGACCCCTCATACGCCATATGTAGCAGTCGAAACGATGAAAGAAAATGGAGCCGTCATTATTTTCGGTGTCGCTGAGTTGCGACATGGGATGGCTGAAGTCTACATATACAGCATGTGTTTCGTCAAAAGAGAAAAAAGTTACCAGCGACAAGCTAGATCGTTTGTCTGACGCACACTTTCGTTCGCCTTTGATGATCTGATTGTCCATGTTCCGTCTATGTTTTTCAGTGTTCCTGCTGTTCCCCTATACTGTCGTGCGATATACATGCTGTAGGCTACTTTGAACGTCATTTCGCTGTTCTGTTCTCTCTCAACCCATTCGCTACTGGTTAATACTGGCTTCTAGAACGCTGCGTGCTTTGTCGTAGCTGGCAGAATAAAAGGCTATCCTATACAGGCCGAAATAGGAAAGCCGAATGCAGAAGTTCGCACTGACTCCTTCGAGCCGCAGTATGCCCCACAGATATGTAGTAGAATAAACGGATCAACAAAGCCCTCAACGATGGGGATTAAAATAGCACGGCTGCAATGAGTACTCATCTATGTGAATGGAATTCTTGTCGAGTTTGCTTAGCTGAATTAGAACAATTTCGGATAATATATTTGGCAATGATGCTCTAGGACGCAATGAAAATTCGTAGTCGAAGGCTTTAGAGAAAAGATATTGCAGGCCAAAATGTTCCCGTATACGATTATAAAAAACGTATCGTACAATTCGCTGAACTCACGAACATTATGACCCGCTGCAAATCTCACAAAACTCTAAATAAAAGAACGGGTGATGGAAATAGCTGATATATATATATATATATATATGCTTTTATATCTGGTGGACGTATTAAAGCCTTCAGTTGTCCACAAGCAAAGTATGGCGTCAGCAATTTCGTTCTCAGGCGGCAGATTTCCTGAAAGGAAATTGCATTCCGATAGGAATAGAGCAGTTTTAGGACACAGCCTGCGTGATCTAGACGTGACATGCACGAGGTGTACTGACAAAGGCGATATGTTTGACACGCTTTAAATATCACTATGTACACCTGCATTACTGATGGTACGCAGATTTTACCAGAAACTTCTAGGATAAATAAAATCGTATCATGTGTCTATGGTATCTAGTATGATACTATGATATGACATAATATATGATTATCAATCAATTTAGTCAGCTTGTTTATAGCATATTTATCAGACTTATCAAACTTAATAAGATATCATTAAAGAAGAAATATTATATGATTCGCTAACTTCACTCGACGTAAAATTGTATAAGTTGTATCATTTAAACTAGGAAGAGGCGCACAAATAACGTCTTGTCGGCGATATGTCGAACGTGGGTGTTGAAAGCCTATATGAGACGCTGCTTTCCATTGTAGATACCCGACCAGTAAACTGCTGAGACTACTTTGTCCCTTTCTCAGTAATAGTCTTTCCCAGTATGAACGGGCACTAACTAGGAAAACATCTGCCGCCCTTTGACGTATATATATATATATATATGTTTTTAATATTAAATACATCATAGGCAGGGTGACTCGAGCAGTGTGCACAGTAGATTAAATAAAATACTGAAGCATTGAACAGCGAGAATATAACAAAAATAAATATAATCTAAATTACGAAAGCCGTAGGGGGTAATTTGAGTTACTCCGTCAGCTCCATGAGAGCCTGAATCGCCGAGAAAAGGCAGATATTCTTCTGACGTGGGTTTCAGACGCAAGCTGTTGGACGTTGTTGGAATTACGTTCGCGTGACACGGGGCCTAGGCTGGAGGTTGTTTCAAACGAACCTCGTTCCGCCATCCGTGAATCCAACCATAGTAAGAAGCCGAACGAAGAGGTTGGTTGTTGACGGAAAGGATGACCCCCGAGGCGGCTTGATCGAGGGAGATGGACGAGGTATTGGCCTCAGATTGGCCAACCATAGATATCTACCAGGTCAACGGTTAGGTCTGTTTTGCTCTTATAGCCTTTGGACAAAAAGTATATAGGTGTGGCTGGGTAGCTCTGTGTGCCCAGACCGATTCTAAAGATGATGGGATGGCGATGAATGAAGTAGACGGGACGGGGAAAATAGCTACGCTTTAGGCAGATAGACTTAGTATATTCTAGGCCAAGAAAGCCCCGTCAAGCCGCACCTTGAACAGTTTTTGCTCGGTTTAACCGTATCGTTCTAGCATCTAGACAGTAAGTTCGTTTAACTGTTCGAGGTACCACGGTCGCTATATTGAGCGGTCGATTGTATCTCCGCATTAGTCAGAATGCACTGAAAGGGCCGGTACCCCGTCAATGGCGTAAAAATCATAAGAGAAGCGTCAGAAGCCTATTTATCTGTGGAATTTAGGCAGATCATATCTAAAAAATGGCAGAGTACCTCCGGTAATACACAACAGCATAAAACAACGAACTCTCTATGTTTGAGACTAGTTCGCTTCACCCACTAGTCTCAACATTAGTAAAAAAAACGTTCTATGCTTTGGCGATATGCGCATCGTAAACGTTAAGCACAGACAAAATCGAACACGTACACCGGTCGTAGGAGGTCAGCACAGCCACGGTATACGCGTCTAATTGATAATAACAACACAGAATGCTGTTGTAATTACTTCAGTCGACTGAAGGGGTCTCGTTGTAACAGCAGCTGTGACCCACATTTTGACTATTTATTATGC